TGAAAGGAAAAAAAAAAGAGACTGACTTTTGAAGTATTTGTTTATATACGTTATGCATGTGTAGTGGTGTAGGGGTGTGAACAGAAACGCCATAAAATATGATGAAAACGGTCATTGCAGATTGGACTGAAAAGCGTTTGTGAATAATATCCAGAAGAAAGAATGGTTACCATACCCCTATCAGACCATGGTGATACTGTTTGCTAAACATTTCTACTTCTTTATGGTGACCTAATTTTCATAATTTATAAAGTCTAAGACGTTGAGCAAATGTGTCCTCTGCTCAATGTGTCCTCTCGTGAGAGTTCAACACTAACAAGTTTGCCATTAAATTGTCTTTGCTGTTTCAAATTTCACTTTTCCTGGTAATGCGCAAGCAAATTTAGAGAAACCAATCACACACAGATCAAATCACTTGAAGATACACGTAAATCACGTCTCATTGGTCAAAGTCATCAGGTCAGCTGCAGTGTGTATTTTCAATTTTAGGAGGCCATTTTTCCACGTAAGATTGGAAGAAAGTGGCCTTATGACCAGCAGAGATCAGGGGACTGCTCAAGGGTTGGGAAGTCCAGAGATATCCCCCCTACATCTTGTAACTGTGACCTATGGTCAAGTCATGATTGATGTTGTGTTAGTCTAGCTGTTCGATAAATCCTGGGTCAGTGAGAAAGTTCATTTCCCTTGGCTGGTGGATTGAGGGAAGGGTCGTTAGACTGAAATTCCTGTCAAATCACCTGTGCCACTGACAAACGAGGAAAATTTGAATAAGGAGCAACATTTACGTTGGATGCTTACTCACATGTGTATTGGACTCGTAATCTCATGCACCATGGCACTGTAAAAAGGTGTCTTTCTATTGCCAAACTGCAGAAAAAAATCCCCCCCCCAAAAAAACAAAAGCAATTCCGAACAAACCCTGCCAGTCCGAACAAATAAAACATCATAAATCTCACAGACACCATTTTTGTCTCGGTTTTTTTGGGTTTTTTTTTTTGGTAAGTGTACATGTACATGTAGGCATGGTTTTAGTTTTGCGTTAATATACATGTACCTGTGCTATCCAAGTCTCAACATGATGTCCAAGTGGTCAATATCCGGACATGTCTGAAATGACAACCTAGTGCATTTTGGGGTCAGAGAGTACCAGCTTCAGGGCACAGGTGTACTAATACCTGTACATGTACTGTACATGTAAAACAGGGGTCCAGCTAACCTGCTGCTATTTGACCTTTCCCCTCACAGGAGGAAGATGTTGGTATCAAAGAGTAACTTGCCCCTCACTCAAAACAACAGAAAAATCACCAGTTTACAACTTGCTGTTGATGTTGTTTGAAAAAGAAATGCTGTAGTCCATTATTATTTTTCCTTTAAAACATTGCCCTGCAGGACTGTAGGGACTGGAACTTCTTGTTTGTTTCGTTGTGGCTCATTAGAAAGTAGAGCGAGATAAACGAGGAATGCCAGCGGTTGTAAATGGGTAATTTGAACCAAAATAGGTTTCAATCACAGGGGACCAGTGTCAGTGAACATGCGGTAGGGAGTTTTAACATCGCAAGTTTACCAGACTGACCTCCCTGGCCAGCCAATCAAAGCTGTTGGGCAGAAATGAGACCAAGGCTGTTGACTGGCTGATGGCTGTCAGCTGACTCTTTCACCTTAGATAGGAGACTCTTGATTGGTCACAGTGAGGTCACGCTGCAGCTGCCTTGCATACAAAATTGGCAAATCACTGGGTGTCTGCTGGGCAAATGTGCTGTGGACTTGCCTGAACTGAGAGGCTCAGGGAGTGTAGGGTATATCACACTATAGCACATTTCTGCAAATATGCACTGACTGTTAATTACTTCAACCCTAACCCTACATAATACTACAAATTACTACTTGTTGTAAAATGTAGTACTGAGCACTGTCGCTTGTAAGAGGACATGACTTTATTGTTCTTTGAAGCCATAAAATACAATAGAAAAGACAATGTACCATACTGTGCTCTGGCACTATGAATGCATGGCTTTATTGTTCTCTGTACGAGTAACAATGGAAGGAACCTAGCCAGAAGTAGTAATCTGTAGCGCTAGGTCCTTCAGGCTCAGACTACTACTTAGTATTTGTAGTACTGAGTAGTGTAAGCCGAACAATATGGTTGGTGGTTAGGGTTAAAAAATAAAATGTGACACTTGATTCTCTGACTTCTTCCTGGCATGCTAGGGGGCTTTTCTTGCCATGCTTTCAGTCTTAGTTCCAGCTCAACAGTTGAGGAATTTTTGAACAAATGAACCCTTTCATAACTCATCGTACATGTACGAGAAGAAGCAGAATTGGCAAAAATAGAAATCCAAACTGCCCACAGCTTTTTGTAACTCACACAGCTGTGACACCCAACTTTCTCCTTGTTAAAGATGATACACCAGCTTGTAAGCTTACGTAACAATTCCAAAAAGGCCCTTTAAAACATCTCAGAGTGGCTGCTCTCAAAAAGTAAACACGAAAGAAAATTGGATCCAAAGGTTAACAGTTGCAAAAATCTACATCTTTCATGAGGCTTTTCAAAACAGACAGATATTGAGTGCACATATTGCTCGGCTGTTTACATTTTAAGTTGGAAGGATTACAAGATGAATGGAAAAATATTATTGACCTTAAAAACCTTTAAAAATGTGAGCATTGTTCCTGCCAGCCATCACAGTTTCCTGTCAGGTCTAACAGAGAATGTGAACAAAAATGCGCTAAAGTGTAAATATTTTAAGTTGTGCATCCAGATGTTTATCCCACAACACCACCTGGCTCAATTTTTCCCTGTCAATTTCCGACCGAAGGATATTGGCCGAAAACGTGTTTATCCATGGTTCTGTGGCAGCTTGAGGCCACTTCTCTTGCTATGAGAAGCTTGAGTCAAACCAACAACACCTGAGTGACTTGAGCTTTGTTTGTTTCCCAGAGCAGATTCCAGACTTCTCTCTGGGCACCTCAAACAGGGCCCCTCACCACCGGAACCACTGGGACAGGACAAACTGAACCGACCTCTTTCTTGTCTCATAAACACCTTCGGGAAAGAAAGAGCCGACTTTAAGCTGTTGGCACCCGTCCAGCTTTTCCTTTCTTTCTCAGTCCCGGCACCTTTTTTTGTGCCAGGTTCATGCTGGCTCATTGTTTTTGGCTGTCACGGAAGCGGTGTCATATTTCTACTGGTTGAAGGAACTGTTGCCCCGTCTGTGTGCCCAGGAGAAGTGGTCGGTCGATGACCAGTCTGGTTCCCCGTGCACAGAAGGAACATGGGTCTGACCCAGTTTACAAGTTGATGTGGGGTCCGTGTTGAAATGGTTTGTTGTTGATTTATGACCTGAGGTATGTTTTTGTTTCACTTGATTTACCTGCTCTGCATTAATCTTTCTTTGGCAGGAGCGGGAGAGTTGAGCCTTTGATGAGAGTGCAGTATAAGTTCGGTTCAGTCGGAGTTCATAGTCTCTTGTTGAAGACAAATTTTCTTTTTGTCTGGGTGGGACCATTTTTTTTTCTTCACATGGTCTATTTTTACCCCTGCACCTGTAAACTGTCGTAGTTGTTGCCATGGTAACTAGACGGCCTCTCGCTTCCGAGTGGAATATGCCAGCTCTTTGTCTAAAAACTGGGGTGTGATGTCAAGTTGGGCAAACAAAGCATACTTTTTGTTCCCGCCCCCTCCCCACTTGTGACCTACAAGGGGGGATGTATGTATGCATTAAAACCCCTGTTCATGGGGGGAGGGGTTGGAATTTCCTGACGTAATGATAGGAGCTTATATTTATTTATCTGCCTACTTGCGCTGTCCAGATTTTTCTTTTGGGAGGCTTTTCAGGGGATGTGTTCTCCTCACGGGACTGTCTCAGCCAAACCAGGTCAGAAGTAGTGACTTTATAACCTGGTTTATACAAGTCACTCCATGGCTTGGTAGAAACAAGTAAGGAGAGTGTTTGAGGCTTAGCTCTGAGTTGAGAAATTGTCAGAGTGGTTTGGTAGACCCGCTACTCTATCTCGTAAAGTTAACGTTGGCTTGAGCTATTGTATGAGGGAAAAGAATGTGGTTGAAGGAGATCTTTGGTTTTGAATTGATGAACCGCCATCAAGCTGTGTTACTGCATTGTAACAGATCAAATGTGTAATTTCGTTTGCTAAAAGATTTGGTAGTTGTGGATATTATTAAGGGAATAATTATGTGCTTGGACGGTCTTAAACATGGGTTTGAGACCGGCTCAGGAGAATGGACGTGATTTGTTATCAGCATTCAGTCTCCTGAGCTGACCGGCCAAGCACATACATGTACTAGTCTTTATTCCCATTCATAAATACATGGACCTTTTTAGTCAGAGAGTCAAAGGAAGTCAATATGATGGATTGCCAACAATTTTGTTCCAGAATGTTACTTCCATTTTTCAAGAAAACACCCCAGTCCATTTTATGGTATATTCCTTGTGCAAGTTGTCCAATAGAATCTCCTTACGTGGACTTGACGCGCGCGTGTGGTGTGGTGAGCCGCATGCACTCAGCCTCTTGACCAATGAGAATCAATTAAACTGTCTCGTATCCAGGTGCCAGCACATGATTTATGTAGAGGGCATTATCAAAGGTTAATACACGGGTCAAGTTGCAGTTGTTACATAGGAAGACTGTCTGAGGTATTTATGAAAGTTGATTAATGGGCATCCTCATGTGCTATGATTCTGTCAGTGATACTTTGTATGCATCTATGGAGGTTGCCAAATGTGTAAAGATATTGTGCATATGGGAAGAACCACCAACATAGGGATGGTAAGTCAGATCTTGTAGGCTTATTCAGATGGCTAGTAGAATGCTGGTATAGTGTTCCAGAGGTTGCAGGTTCAAATCACACTCCGGTCAATTTTGTGGTTCACCTTTATAAATAAGATTCCCAGGTAACGACAACCTTGTTTTGGAATAGTGGGTCACTCATAGCCATATTTTGTATTTTTTTGTTTTTACAGTTGTTAATTTTCTTTTCACAGCCATGGAAGGACATCTCGGCATCCGGTAAGGACTTCATCGCCAAGCTGCTGATCATCTCCCCCGGCGAGCGGCTCCCAGCCGCCGAAGCTCTGAAGCACCCTTGGATCGTCACCAATGCAGCCCAGTCAAGCCTCAAGAACCTGCACCGTGCCATCAGCCACAACTGGCTCAAGCACACCTCCACCCGCAGCCGGTCCAGCAAGTCGGCCCGCTCGGCGCGGTCCACCAGGTCTAATCGCTCTAACCGGTCCAATCGATCCAGCAGATCGGACAAGATCCGAGTGCAGCTGAGTGAGCTTACAGATCTCTCCAAAGAATACAAAAAGGTATGCTGGATTAATCTTTGGAAGGCCGTAGTATGATATGCAGTGTTTTCAAGGCACTAGGGGCCTTTTCCATGAAGCTAGATACCAAGATAATCGCTAAGTACATAAAATCTTTACCTGACAGAACAGTGTACATGCATGTACATATTCTGGTATGTTGCTTGGAACTGGCTTTTTGGCTGAAAAGTTGCTCAACAAGCGTGTTCAGGAATATTAGTTTCAGGACAGCCTTTTTAAATAGGGCCCAGGAACAGTAGTGAGGCACATTGTCTTGTATAACCTTGTACGAGGTACATGTACATATGTTTGGAATTCATGGACAGCTTTACCAAAAACATCAATATTAGAATCCTTAAGAGTCGAAGCCAATCTATAATCCCCTTCTGGAATAGACTAGTTTGGCCTGTTTTTGACCCACATGTACTGGTATCATTGTGATGTCACCATCTCTTAGATAGATCTCTACACGCACATACATGTATACCCTGGTTAATGTGCGCGTACGGTGTATGTCACACCATGGAATATCATCATTTTGGAAAATATACCGAGCAGAACTTTACTTCATACAAAGCCAGCTTTCCCATTGTAGAGCCAACCCTTTTTCAGTCTGTAGCCTTTTCATTATTTTTTGTCCTTGTCCTCTGGAAATCCCCAAAACTCTCCATGTCATCAAACCCCTCCCCCTTTGCGTGATCAGCACATGGAGGTGCAGTTGCACTTTGTCTATTGTTCAGCCTAAAGAGTTTATTTCCAAATTGGGAGATTTAGACACGATAAGAAAGAAAGTGGAAAAAAACAAGTCTGGAAAAGGTCAAGTTTGGTGGCCCAAGCATTGGCTGAGATGCCTGAGGCCGGTGTTGTGTACAGTTTGATTCCAGCCAAGGAGACCTGTAGTCCGAAATGGATAAAGGAGGGAGGGAGAGCCTTTTTTCAAAAGGAAAAAAAAAAAAACCAGGCATGCCATTCGGAGTGTTTGGAGGATCAGAACTTGGAGGGTGGTTTCTGTTTCCCCCCCCCCCACAAAATCAATCATTAAGGCCCAGTCTGGTTGGCTGCAGATTTGTTTTCTGGTTTTTTTTGGGGGGGGAGAATTTTTTTTTTGATAAGAAAACAACAGCTTATCCATGGAGGGGGAGGGATTGATTACCTTGGTCCAGCCACAAGCAGTAGATTCTCAATTACTCCAAACGTGAACATGCATAAGACAGCTTTTGTTAATTGTCCTTTTAATGGGGATCTTTTACATGTAGGTAAAATGATATTGATAATTGTGTCTTGATAAACAGTGTGTCCTCCATTTAGAGGCAGCACAGCAAGCAATAAGTACAGTACATGTAGTAAACCATAGGTGTTGGTGTGCAGGCGGTCCAATCAAGACAACACGCAGAATAGGACATAACAGTATTGTGAAGTTGCATCTATACATGTGAACTAGTGTGTAGATGTACATTTATTTGACAGTGATGTGCTTGGAGTCGTTTGCCATGAACAGCCTCAACAAAATATGAAATATACATTAAGTTTGTGGTGCACTATTTAGGGGTAGTCTGGGGGGCTGGGTACCCTGTTAAAGTAAAGCACGGGTACCTGGGTACCGCGTTAGAAACCCAACCCCAAAATTGAAAGGGAAAGACATCAAGAAAAGAGCATTGGGCTACCTCGAATTTCACTCAAATAGACAAATGCAGTCCTGCCTGGAATTCCAATTAACCTTCTTTGTAAATTCCTGGCTATATTCCATGTAGCCTGGTGTGTTTATTTTGAATTCCCTCAAGAAGAACCTTTTCAGAAATTTCAGCATTACCCTGTCATTGACTGAGCAATTACTGTCGGTAATTTGCAAATTTGTCACCAGTACTCGGTCCAGTAATTCAAAACTGGTTCTTGACATCAGATGTTCTGGTATCTACATGTAGTTCTGATGCATGCCCCGGCAGTATGTACATATTGGCCTCATTTTAATAATAAAAGAAGAATGCTCATGTGTATTGTCATTGATTTCTCTCCATTTTCTGGGTACAGGAGACAAGGTAGCCTCCAGTAGTGTGGTTGCCCGAATCCCCTATCCATGCTTCCCAAGATGTGGTGCTGGTGACAGCTAGCTTCTGGCCAGGCGCTGGTCCATTTCTAGAGATTTTGGTCACATTTGTTTCAACGGTTGCCTCTGTCGAGTGTCACTAGCTGGCTTCATTCCGAACGTCGGTGGATCTAAAATCAAGAGTCTTCCTCTTTGGGAGGGGCACTAGGAGAATGTCGGGGGGAATACATATATCTATAAAGGGAGCGCTTGGAGAAATATCAGTAGACCTAAAACATGACGTCACGTTTTGCCTACATGTACGTTTTCCAATGGTAGTAAGATAGGACAGGGTTTATCAAGCCACCACAGGAAAGCACACATGGAAACTACACATGACATTATGGCCGTTTTCCAATATTCAACTTCGTCTCCGTCTCTGGCTTTGTGTAGGAAACCAATCCCTGATTGTGGGCCAGAAGCGTTTTAACTAAAATTGAAGTACTGTAAAATTTGGCTCTTTTGCATCTTACCTGATGTTTTGTGGCGCTATCAGACTTACTATTGCACTCACAACCTCAGGAAGCCTGAGATGGAGCCCAAGTCGTGTATTGGAAAACGGCCCATGTTTTGCCTGTTGTTTCCGGTATTTTGGGTAACAGTTCTTGTTGACCAATCAGCTACTCATCACTGATCAAGGGTGACACTGAATAGAGGGCAGTTTTGATGCCGATGGTTGCACTGATGGTTCAAAATGCTAAACCAACATTTAGGGGGTATTGTAAGGAATTTTGAGACTTTTAAAGAATATCCAAAGTTTTGATAGAAGCGGATCTAGTAACAATTCAGTCCAAGTTTTGGAGGAGTTAGAAATACATGGTTTGGTCATAAGGTGTCAATAGGATACATCCCCAAAATGAAGTCATCCAATCCACATGTATTCATGTAACAATGTATATATTCTCTTTGTAAATACAATATTGTAATGTATGTATCTGTTATCTCTATGGTATTTTAGAAGACTTATTTTTACATGCTAAAATGATTGTATAGATAGATGAAAGTTGATTTCGTTTGAGCTTTTTTCATTCTAATCTGCTACTTTTATTTATACCCATTGCAGAAAGTTGAAGTTGAATCTCCGTTGGCACATTTCTTTCATTGTTGCTGTAGTCCACAAAACACTTTTGGAGTTGACTGTGCATGTGCCAAATACGATAGACTAAGTGATAAATTACCCCCTTGGATGTTACAATGCAAACCACTGCCATCAATGTGCATTGTAGTTAGTACATGAGGGACAGTGGGGCATACCCAGGGGCATGTTCAACAGAACAATAATTGGTCGAGTTCGGGCGGCCTGCTCTTGACACAGGTTTCTTGTTCTCGCGCTCGAATGGCGGGAACACGACTCAAGAACACTGTTCTCGGAACAGGATCACACACCACCTCCTCGTCAGGGTTTTACAGGAACACACGGAAAAACTCGTGAGATTTTGATTTTTGAACATCTGCAAAAAGTAGAGAGATGGCTTCCAAAGCCATAGACAATGGGAAGTTTTGCAAAATTAACATTACTTATTTTCCGTAACACAGAAATAAATGTTCCTGTTTATATAGAAAAGAATTCAGCCCTTATGTCATGATGGGAACGTGTTGTTGGTCCAATACATGTACGTCCTGAACCACGGTGTACTACTCATCATTATCAATAGAAACAAGTAAGGTGAACCAATCTGCTTTCTAGACTGGCTCCCTTGTCCTGCATAGACATAGTCTTGGTTCCAAGACCTTCCAGTTGATCCATGACACCGCGAATCATCACACATATTGTACCTGTACAGGGTGCTGTCACCTCACGAATCGTTATCACAGGCTTCCTGCGTTGATTTGTGGTGTGGTGACAGCGCCCTCTAACAGTGCACGTGTGTTTTGTGTCGCGGAATAACTACTGGAAGGTCTTGGAACCAAGACTAGCGTAGACATGGAACATAATCCACTTGCCTGTGATCTGCCATCTTTGGAATGCTTACTTTGCACTCCATCTCCAGGGTAGCATTCTTGGTATGCAGTCCCTTTGCCTATTCCAAGCATTCAATAGCAAATGTAACAGTATGGGAAATACTGGCAACATATTGTGCAAATGAACATTGCATTGAAGGATACTATTCATTAATAAATGTAGAGGAACCAGTGAATTATGAGCACGAGCACCAACTTCCAGACAGATTCCTGTCCCCTTCTGTTTTAGCTCTAAAAAATAAAAATGGAGGGAAGAGATCTCTGTTTATCAAGCTGTGGCTCCAGTAGTTATGCAAACTCTGTTTTCCTTGTTCTGTATGCATGTATGACATATACATCAGTATTTTACATCACCGTTTTTAATCTTGCTGCATGAATCTATTCGTATAAATTTTCTAGTGTGGGATGGCACCAGACTATTTCATGATTGACGTACACTCCAAGCCTTCCGCCCCTCCCCCAACAAAATCTGGCTTCACACACCTAAGATTTGTTTCATTACAAATTTAAACTTATTCCTCACAGTAGACAAGAACTAAATTTGTCAAGAAATTTTATTATCTTTATTTCCACTCTCAAGTTCCCAAAATTAATTTTCTATGAATAAAGTCTATGGATTTCAGAACTTTCATTTCCTCATATCAAACAAATCCTCTAAAGCCTCAAAATTTGGAAAAAAAAGTAGGATAGACTTCATTTAATCAAGGTGTAAGACTTTATTGCAAAGCAAGAAAAATTTCTGCAGGGAAAGAAAACAAAAAAAACCCACAGTCACCCACTTCACCAGCAATCAGTCTGCAAAATAAAGTCTACCTAAAACATACACCCCCAACTTGTGTGACATAGTTTTGTACCCAGTATTATGTTCTCAATGCAGGCACGGAGCCCATTGCTGTACTGTTCTTAGTTGTACAAAATAAATTAGCTCCATGGTATGCTTAGGTGTGCTACATCTGCATCAGTATTTTGTAATCCTTGAGACAAACTCCTTACGAGAAATGTCCTATTTTGCTTCCAGTTTTACGACAATAGAAATCAGTAGAGCATCATTTGACTATGAGAATAATAAAACAGATTAAATGAGCAACGTGATACTGTGGTCCCTGGAAGTCTTTGTTGTTTAAGTTGCATTTCACAAGAATTTGTTGCTGTGCAAATCAAAATGGCCAGGTTATAACTTCCATTTTGGCTTCTGATTTTTCAACATATTAGCTCAAACACAGTCTATAAGCTAAAGAAACTTCAGTGCTGTTTATGATACACGATATGGGTTTGGACAAAGCATAAATTTAAGCACGTTAAAGTTGCAGCTGCACATTAATTTCAGACTATCTTACGATGGAATGTAGAATTATACTACCTATCAATTGACCTCTCCATGTGACAGATTTTGTGCAAGCACTTTTAGTCTTGTGGTAAGTGGCCTAGCCAGTCGACAGAATATAAACACCTTCTGAATGCAGTCAACAGAGATGTTGACAAATCTGATGATGTTACCACTGCTCGCTCAGAAAGAAGCACCCAACCCCCTTGAAGACCCGTCGTGCCAGCTATTATGCAGAAAAACGGTTAACGGTCTGTTCCCTACTACACCTAAGGGTGGCTAAAATTTGCAGAAATTATGCCTTTGGTTGGCATCAAATTACACCGCAAGAGTAATATTTCTCCCATTGCTTAAAAGGGTTATATTTCCATTTACAGTAGTATTTTTTTACTATTCGGTGCATGAGATTTTTTAACGGAAAATTATGTTTACGGACTTTAAACTGACGTCCAGACACGGATTTACCAGATGCCAGCAAAACTATGACGTTGATGTAGAAAGAGCAGGCCCTATACCTCGTAACAGGTGACATGTACACACATATGCCCTCAGTGGTTGCCGTTAATACGTGAACGTGAACAATTCTAAGAGCCAACTCTTCCAAGGAAGCTGACTGTGTGTGGCAACCTGACTCTGCTGTGAGTTATCCTAGCAAATGCTAGTCTTGGGCATAGCAAAGATGTCACAGTAAGACATGTGCACACCTTGTACAAATTACTTTCTCAATTATGGGCACCTGTGGAATCTTGTGACAAGAAGCTGTGGTACATGTTGGTGTTAAAATTTCGAGATTTCCAGCCAAAAATAATACCGAGCCTGGGAGCTGGTTGTCAAACAATATCTGTTGGTCAGTAACCACTTGCAATACATAGACAACATGATTTGGGGCTTCCTCAGTGTCTGGTGGTTACCTGCCTAAAGATGTGTACACTGAATACATTCTCACAAATGTAAATAAACCAATACTCCATCTTGGTAACTCTCATTTACACGAGTGAACTTAAAAAAGCAGTTTCAAGAAATGCATAAAAATCTAGAAATTATCAAGTTGCTTGAAATATTTCAGGATGCACAAATTGAAAATTTCAGCGGCAAACAGTATTTTTTTCACAAAAATGCTTATTTGTAGAGGTTTAGCAAAGTGGATGCAAAACTTTTGAGAATACATTCTTGACGTTGGTTATTGAGACTACGTCTGCTAGAAACACGACAAGAAAATGACACGAAATCCCTGAACACAATGCAGTATGGTGTCCCCCCCCGATTGTCCTGACATAGTTTGGCTTGTCAAGAATTTACCTCTGAAGTGGCCGTTTGTGGACCTCTTTTGGTGGGTACAGAGAGGCTCTGGCTGTGAACATCTTACCAGCAACGTCAATCTCGTACTTGGCCTTGGTCACGTAGTCGTGAGTGACCTCGTGGGTCTGGCCCGTCTGACGGTCGGTATTGCTCAGCCAGCCTAGACACAGCATGGATCCCAGGGTGGGGCTAAAGCTGCTGGACGTGGTCGTTCCGGCCGGCTGACCGTTGCGGTAGATGGGTTCCCCACCCCAACACCACAGGTCACGGTCCACTTTGTGGTCCTCTAAGATGAAGGCCGTCAGTTGGCGATGGATGCGCTCTTGTTGTTGTCTTAGCAACGCCGACTGACCTATGAATTCCACTCCCTAATATAAAAGAAGAAATTTTGACTTAATGCAAAACTGAATTAATCTTTTGTATAACAAAGCAAAGCAATATGAATATTCACACTTTAACAGAAAGGATATGTCCTTTACTATGTCAAAACTATACTATGTCATAAAATCTTTCAAGACACACTAGTCCCCACCTTGTCAAATTTTGCAGCTATCTCTTTCCCGATTTCCAATGGGGTGTGTTCGTTGTTAAAGTCAACACCCCAGGTTGGGTAAAACTGCTCCAACCTAAGCCACCTTAGGGCATAGTGGCCAACGAGGCGTATACCATACTCTCTTCCAGAACTGATTAGTTTGCCATACACCTGCCACACTGACTGAATAGAACAGAAAAGAGCAGAGATAAGAAAGGACAAAATCTTTGATACACATGTACTTGTTAGTTTCCATGCAGCAACAGTAGAAAGTGCTGTTGTGACCTACTCATGAAGCTACTTTTTGTAGAAATACAGCACAAATTTTTTATCAGAATGAGCACAAACAGCACCACCAATTTTCGTCTGAATGATTACAATTTAACGTGAGTAATTTCTGACCGAGTACAAATAGCACCAACACTTTTCATCTCAATGCATTCAAACAATGCACTCAAACAGCAACACCAATTTCATCTAAATGAGCACAAACAGCACGACCAATTTTCGTCGCGACATGCAGGCCAGTTCCACAATAGCAATGACGTTCAAATGTCGATCATTCCTCTTCATTTGCCAAGGTTGTGGGGGGACTTATGCGTAGTCTAAATTTGACAGAGGAAAGCTGCATCCTTCACGCATCAGTTAATGAGAAGCAAGTCGCCTACCTCATTGGGAATAAAAAGCACCATTCCATCTTCACCCGTGTCTGTTACGGTCATGGCATGAACTCCGGATGCAAAACCAAGGCTTAGCTCCTGGAAAAAAAGGAAGTTGGAGTGTGGAATGCTATAGAGGGTTGGCATGGCTGCCATCGTGCAGACAAGCTCTTTTGTTCCACAGGGTATGCACAAGGGAAGCTTCCCTATGTAACAAAAGGACTACCCTGCAAGATGGCTACCACGCAAAGCTTCTATACCCAACGTCTAGCTCCAAATTAACCCCCTTACTCTGAGTGGGCATCCACATGGCAACAGCCATCCGTCACAAATGCAGGTGCTTCATGACTTGTTTCATTTTGCTGACCCCACTCCCCAGCTTTCCTATCTCAAGCAATTTTTTGGTCTTAAATTGTTCTCCGACAGGTACTGGGTAAGTTTTATAACTATAGGCAATTGATCAAGTGCCATAATGCACCTTGTGACAGAACGGCTTGAAGCTGGCGGCACTCAGCGGTGTGATGGTCAACTTCTGTAGGACATCTCTGGCCTTTGGTCCTAGGACATTCAGACCGGTGTACTGACTGGTCACATCCTGTAGCTTGACCGAGCCATCTTTAGGAAGGTGTCTGGCAATCCAGTGATATCCTTTGACTTGCTGGATTGTGGGACATATCAGGAAATACCTAAAATAAAGAAGATGGCAAAATATAAGTTTGATTTGGGCTACAACTTCTTACAGCATGCGAATGAATTCATTCTGGACAAGCGGTGACTTTTCTTAATGTAGCTTCAGCTATCCATAGGAACCCAGTTACTTTAGATTTGCTTTTTGAGTTCACACCTTAGTGAAATTCATGTTATGTAAAGTTGTCATGTTAACAATGTTCATCTGAAAGAAGTTGTGGGAAATCTTAAATGAGGCAGGGGGAGGTAGAGTGGTTTAGGAATGACAAACCTGTGGTCATCCAGGCGAACTATATCACAATGGACCTCATAACTGCCCTTCTCACTAAGCATCCCAGAATGCACTACAGTGCCCACAGGAATGTCCACATCATTGAGACATAGCATCTGGAGTAGGGACGTAACCGTCTCACCCTGTCAAATTGCGCAAAAATGACCAATGATAGCAAAAACCACAAAATCATGTCTTTTTTTACGTCATTTCTGTGATCACGGCATTCCAAGCGTTCAAATAATGTGCACAAAAACTTACAAGAAACAAAAACAAGACTGCTTTTTAGAAAACTTTCTTCAGTGGTAATTGTTGCACATTTTACAAAATAAAGTAAGATAGCTCAGATTAATTTTTTTACGGGAAAACTATAATAAAAGTGTGAGTAACCGTGCATTCCATGAGGTTTTGGACAGTAACCTATTTCACAAAGACGCAGCATTTAAACTTTCTTAGTCATACAAGGAATAATCGTCATAAATAGAAATCTGTTCAGCTTTGCACACCTCTAACTCAAATTTTGTTACAGATGACACGTCGATCACACCCACAGATTCACGGCAAGCACGGTACTCGGCCTTGACCATATCAAACCAGCCTGGCTTGTAAAACGTCCCTCGCTGAATAGCTTCGACAAGTGCCTCTGAAATGAGACAATCCAAGTCACTATCCACAGTTTGATTGGCTGTCTCCGCCAAATTCAATTTCTTCATTACATCATACAACTACCGCAGGCTGTGATCAATGTTTGCTTAGCTAAGCTCTACCCTCAAACACAGACGGCAGTATATGTAACTTCTTGATTTAGTTCATTTTAATTTGATTGGTTTCATGTGAAAAGGTTTCACCTTCAGGAAATGCTTTGCATTTTAACAGCCTCTAAATTTGCTCTATACCTCAAGAAATTAGTTCTGGAAAAGCTGGCTCCTTCGGACTTAATAATGATTTTTCACAATAAAAGTGTCACTTTAATGGTAGGTTTCTTTGATCATAAGACGTTCAAATGAAAATTCAAAGTTGATCTCATTGAAACTCGGAACCTATTCATTTCACACAGATCTGAATCAGCGATCCCAAAACTGGTTCACACCATCTATTAGCCTGGTTCTGGTGTCAGTAACCCGGTGATGGATTCACTGATCAAGATTCGGATCTGTGTGAAACAAACAGACCCGTAGACTGGCTACCTAACCTCAATGCAACAGTAAGCCAAGAGGCAGCCCAAATCCATGATTTCAACTAGTTGCTATGCACCACCGCAATTCCGACTTCCCTGTTGTCTCAACAGTCTCGTACTAGAAATCTTTCCAATCTGTCACACCACAGGAAACCAACATCACATCCTCTGAACTCAACAGGGGTATTGAGCTATACCTGAAGGAAAAAGTGGCCTGTTCTTCCTTCCTCAATCTTGCAATACCCCTTAAATGATTCTGATGGATCTAGGAGCATTACTGTTAAACCCAGTGCAAGATCATCTTGGCTCCATAAGTGCAAGTGATCCATTCCTGGCTTCCAATCCTTAACTGTTGTGATTAGACTAATTGAAACCTACCGCTGGCGCCCTCGCCGGCATACACCTGCGGTATCTCCAGACCCATGCACTCTGCAAAGACTGCCTTCGCCTGGCGGAGCTGGTCGTGCAGTGCCGTACAACGCAAATTTCTCCCTGTCTTGTACTGCATGTGAGGGTAGCCAATCTTGAAGTGGGTTCCTAAAATGAAAAGGAAGAGTTGGGCTGAGTGAAAACCAAGGACAGGTTCTTAGTGACTGACTACAGAAACAATACCACTAAACCCAAGATGGCTGCCGTCTTTTGCATGTGGAATTTCTGCAAGATACATTTCAAACTGAGAGTTGGATTTCACAAAACCTCTCAAACAGAAAATGAATTAGTAAATTATTGCTTCGGAATTTAAATGCCAAGCAAAAATCTCACCATTGCTCACATCCTGCCGTTGATAAAGTCAATAACATATTGCACATTTATTTTAACATATATCATATCTTCTACTGAAAAGTAGCTATTGATGCGACCATGCCCTGGGCCTAGTTCCAAATGGTTGACTGGATGGTCCAAAACATCCATTGCTCAAGCAATGCTGGTTGACCTTTGGCTAACTATAGTCATTACTCAAACTTGATGGTGCTGTCAATGTCGAACGCTTAGCTCATATGGAATGATTCTAAACATATTATAAAGCAAAAGTGAATGAGAGACGTACATATGAGGGTCTTAACTGCTTCACTGGTTCTCGTCCGCTGTTCGCAAAGACAGTTTTCAAGAACTAAGAAGAACTTTGCTATATCTATACCTTCTACTTCTGTAACTCTCTCTCTCAGAAATGCCTTGTTGTTCTGCTTGGGTGAGAAGCGCTGAGGGTTGACTGGCCAGTACCCCAGGGAAGTCTCGCCATGAACGATCAGCTCGGCCAAGAGCTGACCCAAGCCACCAGACATGGTGACACCAATGGTGCTAATCCCTGTCATGAGATAGTAGTTCCTCATCTGAAAACATGAGCAGAAACCTAGCCCTGTCAATCAACTATCATAGCGACATACAGCCACCATAATGTTATGACTGATTTGTGTACCATGCGCTGTTTCCGCAGAGTCCACGCCTTCTACAAATTTGGAACCCTAACCCCTGGAGGACTTTAAGGGGGCATAACAAAGTTTGGTAAATTTGTAAAATCACAGCCCAAATGTACTTCAAAGTAATGACAAACATTACGCAGCATCAAAATTAATTACTTTATCTCATTAGTAGCAATTACACAAAAAAATGGTGGAAATATCATAGGACAACTGGACTTGTACCCTGACATCTGCAATTATAACGAATAATTGTCAAGCAAGGGAACTAGTACATGCCGGGAGTGACCAGCAAGCTTTGGTTAACAATGTCCTTTTAATTATTTTTCATTTAATTGGAAGGCTCATCAATCCTTAAGTCATGGTGGCCAATATCTGACAATGAAGCACAGTCAGTAGACCTTAGGGAGGAGAACCAGAGAACCTGGAGAGAAACTCTTGTGGCACGATAAAGAACCAATGAGTAACTCTACTCACATATGGCCCCGGCTGGGAATCGAACCCTGGACCACAGTGGTGAGAGTCAAGAGCTTTACGCACAATGCATACATCAGTCCTCACAGATAAATACATGTACATGTGGGTGCTCACATGTTGACGTGGGATTGGATATGGTTCAGCTTTAGAAGAAACATGAGAGTGCAGAGCATTACTTCGGCAGCTTCACCAAAAATGAACATCTGGTCCGGGGTGAAGCATTCGGGCCCGCTAAACAGCTGTTGCACTTCCATTTTATCCCCAGCTGGGACTCGGTGGAGAAAACCTTCCATGTGAAACTCTGAAAATCATGGACGGAAAAAAACAAACCAAAGGTCTGACAGTCTCCAAGGTAGGATATGTTTTTATTTCCTTATACAGAATGCCTTGGGCTGTTGTCCGTATCGTTGCCGATTACTGTCTGAAATGTTCAAATAAAATACCAATGATGGATGATGTAATTTTTTAGAAAGAGTGATTATTAGAAATTTGCTGGTCAGTTCAATTATTAACAGGTAATAAGTTTGAATTTGAGTTGTTTTGTGGAGAAAAATTAACAACTGAATGGGTCAATGGAGAGCCCAAGCCACAGTAGTTGTTCATTTTGACTATAGTTTAGACGCTATGCCAGGTACCCAGGTACAAGCCCACAGACATCAAAACCCAGTTCCATTTTTTTCAGGCCAGGTACAAGTAAAAAAAGATCCATGTATAAAATGTATGTGAACTTAAAAAGTGAAGGGCAGAATTGCTGACAAATTATTGTGTTGCTGAAAAACCAGGTCCTACGGTCATAACTGCGGTTTGGAGATGGACGGAGCAATTTTTGTAACAAATTAACAGAGCTGTAGACTTGAGTCACCTGACTTGGACTCGAGTCGGACCAAAGCCTTATTGTTTTGACTCTCGACTTGACTTGTAACAATCAGTTGTTGACTTGTGACTTGACTTGGACTTGCACAAAATGACTTGTGACTTGACTTGGACTTGCACATTGTTACCAACACAAGTCAGAAAACTATTCGATCAAACAATTACAGTTTTATAAAAGGCCTATCAACTTATGCCTTGCTTTCTTACAAAAAATCACCGTAAGACTTTGTTTGGCTCCAGACTTTTACTTCCGTCTTGTCTGCCCAAGGCCACATCTCCAATCACTTAGCTGTTGTATTGTAGCCTTGAACATTTCTTCGGGACTTCTTACATTTTTCTTGTTTGTCCCCCAACTTTAAGCTTCGTTTGAACCTTATATTGAATTTTTTATATCAGTTTATGACGCTACTCAGCTTAGAATTGAAAACAAAAATAGCATCCCGATCTCGAAGGCAAAATTTCTGCATCAAATACCATATTTAGGAGGTTGTAAAATGCCTACAGGACATGCTTTCATGCTAATAGGTTATGTTTATAACAACTACCCATAAGCAGATATTTGTTATGCTGTCATCCTCTAAATTTCCACTTTGAGGGAGAAATGGGCCAGATTTGAGGTACTATTAAAACCAAGTGGAGACATCATACATGTGCATTGTGACCGTACCGTGTGCGACAATGTGCGACATGGCAAATGGCTCGAATTATTTTTGGGTTATAAACTTATCTGCGCTCATAAAAAGTTCTCGGCTAGTGCCCCAGACTATAGAAGGATATCTGGGAGTGCTTAATTCAAAGCGTCTTTAAAAAAGTTGAACATGATGTTCGTTTTATTTTTTACCCGGGTACTTGATATTGACATAAAACGGGTACCCGGTTCCAAAAAAAATATCTGTAAACTCCTACCCCTACTACAGTCTGAGCCGGCCAAAATAAAGTGACTCAAAGCAGACTCAAGTGTGAGTATGAGTCATGAATTTTCTTGCTCACTTACTGAAAAGATCAAAGTTGTCTGGGAGAGACAAAAACTCAGAATTCTCAGGGATGCCTTCATGGAAGATGGGCACTGCCTTTGGGGCACAGAAACAGCACATGAGACCACCGCTCCACTCGCGGATTAAATTGAAGCTGTCTAGGTCACGGACATCTGCAGTAGAGACAATCAAAGGGCTACTGACGGTGGGTTTTGCGGATCGCAGAATAAATATGGAGGGTCTTTGAACCTAGACAAAGCTGTGGCTTGAAATCACACATTTAGTGAAACTTGACTTGTGCTTGGACAAAAAGACTTGTGACTGCTTGTGCTTGGACCAAATTGACTTGTGATTTGACTTGGCTTGACCTGTGATCAAATGACTTGTGACTGGTCCAAATGTCTTGTGACTTGACTTGGACTTGCAAAAAGAGACTTGTGACTTGATTGTGCTTGGACAAAATTGACTTGTGATTTGACTTGACTTGTGACTGGTCCAAGTGACTTATGACTTGACTTGGACTTGCAAAAGTTGACTTGTTACCATCCCTGCAAATGTTTCTGATGGTGGGATATAAGAATAAAGAATCAAAAATGGTAGAGGCTATGGTAGAGGCAATCCCAAATATGTTGAGTGTTGGAGCCATCAACTGTGACCCAGCCAGACACGACATGACATAACAAGAAAAGGTTTAACCATCCATGACCTTGATAAACCTTCCAATCAACAGCAACATCAGCTACCAATCTGGGGGCAAAGGAGCTAGTGCCATGGTACAATGTCTCACGTGGGATCCAGTGGTCGCTGAGACGGTGGGACTCTGAGACTGTTTGGCCCAGGAGTGGCTGGCCTATTAGATACTGTTGCCCTTGGCAGGTTTCTCCCCTGGATAAAATGTTGCAGGTGTCCCGATTGGGGGATGAAGAGAAATCCATAGAACAACCAGGAGAGGGTTCACAAGACAGTAGGGTTCTGATCACATTGCATACCTGTGAATTCTTGATGGAATGACCAAATGGTCACCTCTTGTGCCATGTACAATTCTTATCGTTGCGATCCAACACTTACGCTATGTCCGGAACGGGCTTCCAGAGCTACGGCTAGGTCTACTGTCTACGCGTCTCCACACATTTCCAATGGAGCAAAGACCTTGACCTAGTTCTCGATAACAGATTCGGATGCAGCCTTCGTACTGCTCTATATTATGCCACTTATGAAGCTCTGAACGCTTATCTACTATGTACGTGTACATCAGGACACACTGGACAACAAGGGCGCCCAGTTCCTGTGGGAAGCAAGCTTAGGAAAATGCCTATTCTCATGGAAACTATTCTTAAAGCTGCATTCTTCAGCAGTTCTTTCCCTGCATAAATACATCTATACATACATGGAGTTTTGACATCAAGCCCAGGTAGTGATTTGGTGATCAGATATCCGTGTGCAGTAGAGTGCATTGGAACGTTGACTTCCGGCTGGCTCATCAGACCTACATCTCGTCCCCACTGTGGAAAAAAATGTTTTCAAACGTGAACGGCCAAATGTTTCTCATTTATTTAACTAGATTGTTAAATTGGGGGAACTACAAGCAGACTTTCACAAATAGGCTTACACAGTTACAAAACCGACAGGCTACATGTGGGTACCTGGTATTACACCCTAATGGAATAGGTACATGCTTTTGTGCACATTTTCCTGCAAAATTGGTCATGTACAGTCTGCACCGTATGCGGCACGCATATAAGTCGGCTGAAAAGTGCCTTCGACTGTTCCACGGTGGAACCCACAACTTGCTCTTCCTCACCTGTCCGGCCGCATTCACAAAGTATTCACATTTGATATCACCCAGGGATGTCTGAACTTGAGAGACCTTCCCATTCTCTGACAGCACGCCCTTGACTTGGACTCCTTCCAAAATCTTGACACCTAGAGAAAAAGTTTTAAAAAATCCAAAAAACAGGGGCTACCTCAGTCTACTGCGGCAAAGAACAAATGACAGACAAGCCAAAAATTAAACATGAAAACATGTACTCACTGTAGGAGATTTGTCCAAATCCAACGGCTGGCTTTAGGCTATGACCATGGACAAGTCACGTCACCCTACTTGCTTCTCTCCACCAAGGAGTATAAATGGGTACCTACATAAGCTTGGGTGCTACCTGCAGTAGACTGGCATCTCTTTGGGGAGAAATATTTTTGGTTGTTTCGTGCGAAGGAAACCGGAGATAAACACATGTGAGCCAAATGGCTCTCTTGCTTGCTCTTTTTTTGGAAGTTCTAGACCTTTTCGAAAGTTCTCAGCAGTGAGATGCCTCCTTATCTACCTCTATTCTTGGCACCTCTTGCAAGAGACAGTGCGGTGTTGGTAGGGTCTGTCATACCATCCCCGGGCAGGTACATTGCTCCTTCAAGATCGTCAGTTTTCACCCAGGGAACGATGGCACTGACCTCCGATGGAGCCAGCAGTGTGTGGTCCAAATTTCTCATCCTTGGGGAAATGGGTTTGATGCACTGACATGAGTTGAAAAAAATGACAGAGTATGGATGCCTGTGGGTGACCCCTTCCCCACTTTGTATAGGTCAAAGATCGTATAGCGTCGAAGATACAAGATGGATAACTCTGCCCAAAAGGCGTAATTACCATGGGCGCCATTTGAGCAAGTGATACACCTGTGCGGTTTACGGTAATGCTTCGGCACAGGCTCACCAGGTGCACATGCCTGCCGCGACGCCTGCGAGTATGCAGTAATGTGCATTGCGCAAGCCTATCGCTTGCTCAAATGGCGCCTATCAATTACAACGTTTGATATGTATTCGCGGTGAAGTTCTCCATCTTGCGCCACTACGCGCCATTGTATGATCTTTGGTTTAGGTTAAAATGGTGTGATATTATGTTGCATCAAACACAGTTATGGCTGTAGCACTGAGATTTAATTTCAAACCTTAAAGACAAAACTCATTTGCAATCACTCAACGGAAACAAATTCCTCCAAAACTGATCATCCAAAAAGACAGGATGAACAAAGAATAAGATGCTGATATGGCAAAGTTAAGTTGGACAATGTTGATCTATTCTTCTCATTGAGATGACTTCAGTTAACTTGTCTTCATTTCTAAGAATACTCACCTAGCTAAAGCAGCATTTCTCTTGATGTCTATCATGCGATCTTTGGTTTGTGCAAGAAGCACAGAGCCCGTTTTCTTGTATCCTGCCCAAAAATTGAAAGGATCTATAAAGTGCCATCCCATGCACAGTTATGTGCAAAAAGAGCATAAGTGCGACAACCTTCAGTACTCTATGCTCACAGGTACTTTTACTCATGCCATGCCGATATGAAGGGTGATGCGTGATCAAGACTTTCAAAAGAGTGAACTTGCCAATCTTGTGATTCATCTTAATCCATGGAATAATGGTAAAATGTGAAGAATTCTATTACCTCGTTAGAATGTGTCATATACATGTACTTGAAGTTAATTACCATAAAATGACTTAGTTTTGACTTGAAATGTAGTGAGTTCCTCTCATTGCCACAATTTTGTGCACATTCTGTTGAAAAAAAACCTGTATGTATTTGATGCACGTATGTTCAACTGTTTTTTTTTAACGGTAGTTTAAAATTAATTGTCCGTGTACTTGTGTGGCATAGGTTCTCGTCCTTTAGTGATGTTAACCATTTGTGATTAGTATTTATTTGGGCCAAAACTTTGGACTTTCAAAACACGCAAGATAAGATGGCCGACTTTTGAATGCCACAAATATTCGCGCGAGTCATCAAAACAGTATTCAAACAATACTTACATCGTCATTCTTACCACAAGCTCATACTTGTCAACATTCAGGGTACACCCAGGGAGCAATTCTGGCTACAACAGGCCATGCACATAAGCAGCCAAGTTCAACTAAGAGGAACTAGTCGGACACGTGAGTCAAGGGGCACTGGAAATTTCAGCAAGTACAGTAAACCATGCCTATCTAAACAGGTCTATAGCCAGATCATGTTTGCCCTGCAGTGCAAAGCGGCTAAATGCTATGTCTACGTGTACGTGAGCAATGCCTGACTGAACATAGCGCCCTCTGACGATCCTGCACGGAGGCCATACCTGTACTAAGTCCTGTTTCCTCTTCTATGGTTTCGTACAAGTGAGCGCTCATAGCGGAGACTGCATAATGTAGGGCTGGCTTCCGCAAGTGACCGATAAGTCCCGCTGCATGCCATGTTGTTCCAGAAGTTAGTCTGGGTGAGAAATGAAGACAAGATGCACAGTAAATGGAAATACAATCATGTACGTGCATTATTTCCAATACACCCACTTAGAGATGACTAACTACAGGGTTCTAGTTGCTAGTCCACGGTGGAAGCAGACGGAACTGTGGTCTCCCATTACTTCAACTCTCCCCCCCTCCACTTTTGACTGGTCCTATGGGTCTGATGGTCTCACAACTGGCCACTCCACTCATGAAAAACGTTCTGCTGCTGGGTTCATCTCTTTAATGGAAGCTCCCTTGCAGAAAAGCATCTCTCAACGTGCATTTTACTTGTGTATGATGAGCCTGAAATTGCAACGGGCTGTATAGTCCACAGGAGCTGGGATGGTTTTCGGAATATTCACAGGCCCAGTGAACAGGGGTTATAATGATGAAGCATCCTGAGAATCAGTAATGATGGATACAAGTAATGTCCATGACGGTAGAGTCGCCAGGTGCCTTATTTTGCCATTTACTGTGAAAACCAATTTGACTTGACAAAATTCAATAGGTGGTGAAATGCGGACCCCATTCCTGCAACAGACCTTCGGGAGACCGACAGTTTAACTTTTGGATTCACCTTGGAAGATGACTGTGACATAAGGCTCAATAAAAGTAGGGTTGATGTCGTGAAAAGAGTGCAGCAATTTCAGTTTGAGGGAAATTATGAGGGGAAAGTGTGAGAGTTTTAACACATGGTGGATTCAAATTTGTATGGCTGGTTTATCAGTAAAAAAGCCACATTTTTTCACAATTTACAATTCAAAATTACCAAAACATAGGGTCAGCGCAATAAACAGAGCACTGCCTACCAGAGTGAAATTAGTTACTTATGTCCCATTTGACGTTTGACTTTCAATGTTGAACAAGTAACCATCTGATATCCAACATTGAATAAGTAACCATTTAATATTCAGGATGCACACTCCTAAAAGAGGTGGAGTGCAAAAGGAACAAAAAACAAACTGTGCCAAATGTATTTTATGGCTTGTTTGACCCCGAAAAACACCATGCCCCGTGTTGCTAGGAGTCGTCACTGATTGAGGGGAACAATGACACCAGATTCAACGTAATCTCCTGGCGGGGTTTATTATTTTGATTTGAAAAAAGTGTGGTATGATGCATTCACTTTCCCACTCTGATTTGCAAGTGAAGAACTCCACTGACAAGACTTTTGTCAAAGCCGTTTTGGAAATCTGCCTTTGCCCTGGTTGAAATGGAGGCAGCAGGGTAACTAAAGTATACAGAAGCACTTTGAATAAAGGAAGTTACGAGCCATGGTGTGTGATTGATGTATCTTATATCAATTGACTGAAATACATGTACTTTCAATGAAATGGCAAACTACATGTAATCTTTATTTTTTCTCTAATATGAACACTGTGGTAAAGCACTGTCGCCAACATTTCAGGGCTTATTTGAACCCGAAAAACCTGTTGCCCTTGGTTCTCTCTGTAGGAGAGAGTTGGTTGTGTATACATCATTATGAAATGGCACGTACAGTGTAAATTGGGTAGATATGAATGGATGTGCATAGTGGCTAAGGGTATCTTTTTTGTCCCTTCTGCACTCCATTGTTTCTAGGGGCTTGCATCCTGAATGTCAAACGGTAACTTAGTCAATGATGAACATCATTATTAAAGATTATTTTCTTCAACACTGAATATCAAAAGTTGAAGGAGGAACAAAGATGTAACTTCACATTGGTGTGTTGGCTTTGGTTTTTAGGGGGCTGACCAGTTTTACAAAGCGAGGGGGGGCAAATATACAATCCCGGTGAAATAATAGGGACCTAGTATGACTACGGTTGTCACCAGACTATATGGTTAAATATGCACCATGCACTTTATGAATAATCATTACATGGTCAAGGAACCTTCAACTTCCCAAACACTCTGCAGTCATTCAAACGTGCACACTTCAATTAGGCCTACTAATTAGGACAAAAATGGCTCGGACATCACGTACATGTAGGTCAGGGCAAATGATCGTGACTATGATGGTCCTGAGGCTGAATCCTTAGAAATAAAGGTGTTTGATTTCGGCAGATTTCACTTTAATGAAAACTCTGTGGTATATGTTGACCAGGCAGCTTCATGACTGTGTTGACTAACCTCCCTTGTTCTAGAAGCACCACATCGGTCAGCCCCAGTTTGGCCAGGTTGTAGGCAGCCGATAAGCCCGCTATGCCCCCTCCGCAGATCACCACTCGAGCCTGCGCTGGAAATATGGTGTCGGTGGTGCCTTGTTCATCGCGTGAAGCAACGTTAGAACCAAGCCTCTGGCAACTTGAGCCGAGCTTTGCGGAGGCGCACTTGACATTCCTGAGGCCTAGGGAAAGTCGCGCCCTAGAACCCAATCGACAACTTGCAACATGTGCACAATACATTATTTATTGGGCCGCGCCTAAAGGTGACTCGCGATCGGACATCCGGGAACTTCTGTACATTATTGAACAGCACTTTGCTGTGTGTTAAAAGTCTACAGTAACATCGCCAACCGCGACAATGTGTCGGAAACTTAGGCCGTGTCCGAAACGGGCTCCCAGAGCTACGGCTAGGTCTATTGTCTGAGCGTCTCCACGTACTTTCAACGGAGTGAAGACCAAGACCTAGCTCCAGACAACGGATTCGGATATGCAGCCTCAGTATGTACAGTACATGTACATTAGACTTGAATCAAGTCGGACATACGTTGCTCTTCCCCAGTATGCCAAGTATGCATTGCCCAGCAGCTCGCATACCCCTTACAAGGCGCCCTCATTTGATAGCGTTTATTGTGCAACGAATGTCATACCGGCGCGGTACGTCACCATTTGGTGAACTGAACTCAAGTTCGGGAGGCCTGTCTTGACACGGGTTTCTTGTTCTCGCCCTCCGACGGCGGGAACATCACTCAAGAACACTGTTCTCGGAACAGGTTCACACAACACCTCCTCATCAGGATTTTACACGAACGCAGTCCGGAAAAACTCGTGAGATTTCATTTTTAAAACGCCGCAAAAACTATCGAGACGGCTTACAAAGCTGGAGACAGTGGAAAGTTTTGCAAAATTAACGTTAACATTAATAATTTTCCATGACAGAAATTATTATTTCTTTAATGGAAAAGACGTTAGCCCAGTTACCCAAACATTAACTGTCGAAGAATGCAATAGGACGCCGCCATGTTGCATGTTGTTTGCTTCAAATTCAACAAATAACTACATGTAGTAGCAATAAGGTTGCAGGCCAGTTAAAATAGGCTCAAAATTGCCAAATCGCAATTTGTAAGCTGTCATATTCTCTGATATTTGAGCATTTTGTGGGCCATGAACTTTTTGTAGGGGAAGAAAGGTGAAGGCTAGCCACAGGAATGTCAGCTTATGTCCGAGTGAATTTTGGATGAAATCAGTGCCCTAAAACGGTCTATTTTACTATGGAGTGTAGGCATCTCTTTTCAAAATGGCTGCAGGCTTCACGACTGTTTTTAGGGGTGATCTTTTGTGGATGAAAATATCTGGAAAAGTCTTGGATAAAGCCACTAAAAATTGAAAGGAAAAGAAAAGATGAGGAGATGAGCTTTAATCTGCCGTGTGTTTTGAACAACTGAGACTTATTAACTTGTGAGTATTTCCCGCGTATTTTTAAAGTGGGGGTATTTATCACTGTTGTCTATGGAACTTTATTTACTGGTATGTACCCATAACCGGTTGCACGTTCCTGGAGTTCGGGCGGCCAGCCCATGAACGGGGTCCGGACAACTGGACCGTTTGCCAAGTCGTCCGTTAGGACAACTCGAATTTGACAAAGAGACAACTCAACCAGTGAGATCTCTTCACATAATACAGTCGTTTCCCCAGTTCAAGATAGCGAAATTATTCAGTCAGATTGCACCTCTACAAAAATCCTCGAATTCCAGTGACGTGAAATGTGGTCACTGTCCACCTTGTGTGATAGAGATACCACAGTTACCACCAAATCAGTTTCAGATTTTAAACTTTTATTTCGGACGCACGGGATCGACGAAAGTGGTGACACTTCTCTCGTTCTGGATCTGTTTCCAGAAAGTAACCACGCGAGCGGCAAATCTATTTTCAGCCAGAACTATTGCAAAAAGCTTATTTTCTAATGAAAAATTCTTCAAGTTAGAAAACTTGGTTCAAAAATAAGAATTCCAATGAATTTCTAAAAAATTGGATCTCGTGTAAATTTCGACTCAACTTTTTCAGCTGCACAGCTGACGAACCCGTTACGTCACGTACATTTCTGCTAACGTCTGTATTAGAGAGATGAGTTCGCAAAGTACATTGTGTGCATACATTTAATGCGTGATCCAAAACTAGGACACAATATGCGTTCAGTTTTCGGCCAGTTTTAATAAAACACAACTTTGAAAGTCATTTTGATTAAACAGACATTAGATGCAAGGGTAATATATAACTGTTCAGTATGAAAAAAAAGGATTTGGGATCACTCGTAGTGAATGATATTGTGGCGAAACAGGGTAGCTGCGCAGACTTGTGTTTCGTCTGGGTCATTACTAATTCAGGCACGTCTAAATCGTGCCTAATTAAACATGCGCGCAGCAACCAATCAGAGGCGCGCACTACCTTTAATAAGTTTCGGCGCGGCACTGGCTGCGTGCACGTGGTTGCCGGGACTTCTCAAGATGGCAGCGTGCTAACCAGAGCTCTGTGGAGTTGTGTTGTGTTCTGAGTTTCGAGTGTAAATCTGACGTACGACCGCTGGTGGTTGGGGATCTACCTCAAGTGTACCTGGTGCGATCGGTTAGTGTGGTGCTTGTTCTCTGTTGCCGGAGCTGCTGATTATATCAGATCTCTTTGAAGATTGGGGGATTGTTAGACAGTCTCGTTTATTTAAGAAGTGGTAGATTATAGGGTTAGGGAACCCGTGTGAACCAGTTAATTGGGGAATAGCTTAGACTAGAAGGATTGTGTGCCGTTGTTCCATGCTTGATAGCATAGCGACGGTTGGTTGCGGTCCTGGTCTGGGAGCTCGCTTTCCTCGTTGAGGTTTACTGGGTGCAGGTTTCCGTTACAGTCTGGTGAGGACTATTATAATTGCCTTCTTAATCAACTTACCTGTGTTATTTCATAATAACTTGAAGTGGGTGAGGGTTATTTAAGTCACCTTGGACCTTGTAGTTTGGGAACTGTGTTGCTTCGTAAGGCAGTAGAGATTATTGATATATAAGTCACCCTGTTGTGTTGTATAATTGCAAGGATTGTATTTGCTTGTGTGGTCAAGACTTATCGGTTATAAGCCATCGGTAGATTATTTATTTAGACTTGAGGGTTACCCTGATCGCTGTGAGGTTTACCCTGATCACTGTGAGGGTTATTCTGGTGTAGGATAAGGATAAGGCTGATTTATCACGTTCGTGGGGCAGTTGACCACGTAGGACTACCTCCCCGTGAGGATAATCTTGTATATAATTAATTGCTGTGGTATATAAAGGATAACTGAGCACTGACATTGAATAAACCAATCATATAATTGCCTTAGAAATCACTGGTCACCGTGAGCTTTAGTCAGTCCTTTATCACTTGTATTGACATTAATTGTAATCTTTATTGACATTGGGATCAATTACCTAATCATAGAGCGGTGGTAAACTTCCACCAAACGAACAGCCCCTAAGGCATAGTCCACCGTTCGTTAACTGATATCCCCCCTTGCGTTTGGATAGCCGCTCATTCTTGCGTAAGGTTAAATAAATATATTTGTGGGGTTAGGCCAGGTCAATTCCATCTCCGATCAGGCCAGTCTGCTGGTCTGCCACAAAAAGGTGTCAGTTGTCCCGCCACAATATATATCGCCCTAGACTATTCGTCATTTTTCTCCCAAAATTCGGGCCAAAATTTTCCGAGGGCAAGTTTAGTTCAAGAAGTTTACATTTCACTTTAAACCCAAACTTGTCTGAGAATGCAGAGCTGAAAGACAACACCAAGTAGGTAGGTTTTTATTTCAAGCTACGACTGTAATGCATACGGGCCATATAGGTGCAGGGCGGGTGCAAGATCGGTTGACTGCGCAAAGAATGACTTACTACAGCCACCATTTTTATAAATTCCTCATAAATTAAGCTTGTATAGTCTATCTACTACATGAAATTCCATTCTTAAGGCATACATGTATGGCCTCAATAAACGTACGCCTGGGCCGGGCGGACAGTGTCCGTTGGGACGACTTGTCCCAACGGACAACTTGTCTGAACGGTCGACTTGTGTCTCTCCCTTTTACGTTCGGACGGTCGAGTTGTCTCAACGGTCGAGTTGTCCGAAGACGAGTTGGCAAATGGTTAAGTAGTCCGGACCCCGATAAGCAGTACCCGAGTTGCGTCGTTCTCTGGTCAACTCGTACTCCAGTGAAATTGCACCCCAGTCAAGTCGTACCCCAGCCAACTCGTACCTTCGATGAGGATAACGGGGTTTTCCCTTTTTTACTCCGAACAGCTTTAATTTTATTAATGATTACAATACTGTTTGTTTTTATGTTCGGTATACGATAAATTGTCCTCCCCTTTTGCACTTAATTAATTATTAGTATTATTTAATCATCATTGATTATTAATTGTGTCAATGATTACAATTCTGTTTTTTTTTTTTTTGGATGTGCGACTGATGGTAGATGCTATTGGCGTCTTTAAAAAATCGCTTCTTCTCCCCAAAAGAAGCTGCGACATCAACGGTGTGACCATACTATCAGAGTATATTCACAGATTTTATTAACTCAAATTAACCAAGCCACACAAGAAGTTGACATCAACCATACATGTGCGATCAGACTATATTCACTGATTTTAATAATTCAAATTAATCAAGCCATATAAAAAAAGACTTGGATGCGTAAATTTGAAAAGGACAAAGACGTCAACTGGATGGAGAGGTACCTCTGTGGAACATTTCTGTTCGGGGGCGCGCGCTGTAGTCAGACGTATTCTATGTCCTGAAAACCGTGGGGATTTTCAACGAAATCCGACTCAGTGGTAAAAGGAACATGCGCTCAATAAATACGTAAGCATTAAAACCCTATTACGCTCTGCTGGGGAGTACGAGTTGACTCGGGTACGAGCCAACCTGGGTACGAGTTAACTCCGGCGCTGACCTGGGTACGAGTTAACTCGGGTACGAGTTAACCTACTGCGGACTGAGCTACGGTAGCTGCTAAGCTTTTGTTTCTCGCAAAGTTACGGCTGCAGTTGTCACTAGTCAGTTTCGGCTTCTGAATCGTTTGGGTGTCCAAAAAGCGAGACTGTATCCTTTCCCCATGGGTGCAATCGCTTTGCCGGCCTTTGCTCTTGTTTTATTGCGTACTTTTGTCAGGGGCGGTGGCACACGTACACCTGTACCGGTACCGTACGTGCGCACCTAACGTTACACGTCGCCTGCCGCCAGTTGGCTGGAAGGGCATTCGTTGTTCCTACAGGTGTTTCATTCCTCCATGCTTCAACAGGCCAACTTCATTGACAGTAACATGTTTGAAGCTGACTCGCATCTTATTTCTTCACTTCACGACGCTAGAATAAAACACACGAAGTTAAAGACTGAACCATGTTGCGTGTCCGGTCACTATCACATCATCTGAGTGGTTGCCTGAGATTCCTCAAGTGCCACACACCTGCTGCCCAGTCCGTAGGCCTAGTTCACATTAGGTATCGTCATGCCAGCGCGGGGTCAACCGAGCAAAGCCAAACAGTCGATGCCGTCCCTCAGCAGGCTCGGGTGGTGATCTGCGGAGGGGGCATAGCGGGCTTATCGGCTGCCTACAACCTGGCCAAACTGGGGCTGACCGATGTGGTGCTTCTAGAACAAGGGAGGTTGGTAAACAACATTTTCAGCACTGACGGTCAGGATCGTGTTGGCACTAAGAACTCTTGAAACTAGAGCTTGGCTTCTTGAAAGTCCCAAAGCTGGAATGCCATGTGCAAAGTTATAATTGCGTTTGCCCTTCCTTTTTATGCCAAATGTTGCAAATTGGAAAACATTTTTACTAATTTAGTGTTACGGCTGTTGCTATAACATGTGTAAGTCATCAACCATGTTTGTGCACAGGGGCATCAAGTATTGTCCTAGCCCAGGTTGGACAACATCTACATTGCAGTGCTACTAACGTCCAGGGTATAAAAGGGTGAGAAAAAAACTGTTGAAAAAATTTCGCATAGTAGGAAGACTTTTATACCCTTGTTGTTAGTCGCAATGCAATATGTAGATGTCGTCCAACCTGGGTTAGTATTGTCCATACATGTACACACTCTTTCCTTCAAATTTTCTTATTAAGTAGGTCCTTGAAGAGGTGACCCCAAACTAAGGATTGCTCAGTACAAAGTCTTGTGCTGGTATCTTTTTGGTTTTGCTGATATGATCTAAAAAGGCTAAAGATGGTAGGAACATTCACTACCGATACTAAATGTACATGTATACTAAATGCCTCAATTTTCTTGGCCTATAGCTTCACCTGTGGAACGACATGGCATGCTGCAGGGCTAGTTGGCCTCATCAGGAAACACAACTTGGTTTTTGCCCTATCCAAAATGAGCGCCAACCTGTATGAAACATTGGAGGAAGAGACGGGACTTAGCACAGGTACATGTACTTGTATGTACTGTCCTGGAAGCTCACAAAATGAAGTGTAGGATCTATGGATAGACCCCCCCCTTTGAGATCATTAAAGCTGTATTCATTGCCCTTCCAAAATTTGTGATGGCAACAAATAAATCTCTTGCAAGTTAAATGTGAATAAGATCTAGTAAACTGAGTTATCTGATTGCACTTAAACATAAAGATTTGAATTCCCCAGACTAAAGACACTGTTGCTTTACCTTGTGATTCGGGGCAAGCTTTTATCTCTGGAAATTGGAATGGACTGGTTCCTTTGTGCCCTTATGATCCATTGAGGACAGTGTATTGTTGCAAGGCGTCTCTTATGTAACTAAGCAAAAGCTTGCCCTGAGTCACGAGGTATAGCAACAATGTCTTTAGTGTGGAGAATTCCAATTTTTATGTGAACTCGGCGTACCAGATTTTATACAAATTTAACTCGCCAAAGGCTTATTGAGCCGAAAGTGGATTCCAATGTTTTGCTTACAGGATACAGGAAAACGGGATCTGTCATGCTGGCCCAGACCAAGGATCGCATGATAGACCTCAAGAGAAATGCCGCCTTAGCCAAGTAAGTACTATTTAGCCTATGTCCCCTGTACATAATGGGGTGCTGATGATTGGTGTTTGGCACGGGGATTTACTCAAAGAATCATGAATTTCATTGGTTTGTTTCATTTTGCCCAGTCTGCCCTGACCAATAGCTGTATGAGTTGAATTCTACACACCCAGAAAGCTAGCCTGTTCAGGTTCTGCTTTTAACCACTTCCTTCCGGGAATTCCGGATACGTGGCCGGGGTCTCCAAACTCGGACAAAGGGAACAGGGCCTTGTAACAAAAGACCGTACTCCGAACAAAAGACCAGGCTGCTGGGAATTACCAAATTTTTCACTCGCAAAAGTGGAGATACTCCAGTCTTGTTTTGAAACAGTATACCATGGTTTGGGGCACTTACAGCGAACGAATTACCACCGGGGACAAAAGCTCTCCACCACTGCAGCGATGAGCCACACAGCACCGCTGCATGCTAATCTGGCCCCTATTGAAAAGAGGTCAGCAGCACACTGAGCCAGGTTGGTGAACAAAAGAAAGTTATAAAACACCGCACAATCTGGGCTCTTTTTACAAGGCTGCAGGCCTGGCTGAAATACTCAGGCGTCAATAGATTTTGTCTGTCAGGCTAGAGTGACATTTGAAGCAAGATATGGGACGGAGAGATTGAGAGAACCCCCCCGCCTTTGTGTTGGTCATTGTTTGATTGGAAATTCAGGAATTCTTTACAGACATCTAGGGGGGATATGTTAGGTAACAATAGTCTACAGTGTGTATAGAGATTGGACTGGTAAGGGGGGGTACCCCTCCGTCCCTTATCTTGCGTGGTATATATATAGTGGACACCAGACAGTCCTTTCCGTGTTTGTAAATGTCCAGTAAATGAAGATAGGAATTGTTAAAGATTTTTGAAAACAGAAAAAAATGATAAATATCCCGGCCCAGTATCGTCAACGTTAATAACTGCCGCGGCCGGAAGTGGTTAAAGGTGTTTTTAATAAGTTAAAGTGAAAAAACTCTGCTGGCTTCACTATGGTAATTTTCGGACGAATTCAGATGCGAACATATATCCGTACGTGAATACACATACATGTAGTTCATCCACTAATCACTTGCTTTGTGAACGTGCACAAGTCACATTCAAATCACCCAATCAAATGGCATGATCAAATCTCATTGTCACTCACATTTTGCTCATACATGTACATGTGGCCAAAGACGTGTCATTCAATCATTTTCATTTGAATAGTTCCCTCCTTTATTGGTAAATAAGATGGGCTTTTTATAGCCAGTGGTACGACCATGTCCCCAGTGTCTGATGATCTGAACCATCATTTGTTCGACATTTTTGCGTTTTTTTTTATTAACCCTAACACTCCTCAGTCCTTCACCTGTTGGAGGACTGAGGAGTGTTAGGAATAAGGAATTAATGCCTGTACCTGGTGAATATTTGCAAAGTATTTTTATCTTCAAAAATATTTCATTACCCTGGGAAACCCAACATCATTTGTGCCTCACTGAAGTTGTTCATGCCGCTGTGCTCCTTGGTGTTATTTAGTGTTGGCGGTATCTGTGGTCTGCATTGGCAGGTTATTCCAACCATTTTCAGATCCCCAGTTCAACAGACACCTGGCAATGAGTGACCTAAAAAGCAGCATTTAATCTTGCCCGATGACAACAGAGGCCCAAATCCCTCATTGTGCTAAGTCAGCACCATTCTAGCGTAACCATCATTCAATTCCATCCAGGACACGGAATATAGATCACACACTGCTGGCACCCTCGGAGGTCAATTCCATTGTGCCGTGGGTCAGAACTGATGACCTTGTGGGGGCTTTACATGTGCACGGTGATGGTATAACCGACCCGACAAACACAGCACTGTCTCTGGCCAGAGGTGCCAAGAATCGAGGTAACTGAACCTTGCCAAGAACTTAGGCTCTCCATTAGGGGTTCATAAAATGTGAAATAAATTTCACCTCAAGGGGAACAATTCATTTCATTCTGGAAATATCAACTTTTTATTGGACTTATACCAAGGTTAAACTCTCAAAGATTATACGTAATACGCAGATTACAAGCAAATATAGTGTAACAACACCACCATTTTCACCCTTACATTTCCATAGGGCATCTTGTCCCAATACATCTGTTTTGGTTGGACAAATACCTAAAACGGTTGGAATATGTCCGCGCTACACTTGATGATGTATCTCTTGTTACTTCCTGGGACTTCTAAATTCATGAAAGTACAAGTATTTTGGTTAATCACTTAATAAGGAAATAAAATTTAAGACAGCAAAACATCTAAACTCCTGGCTAGTCATTGTGCATTAATGACTGTAACACAGACATTTTGTCCTGGAAATTTGCTGTGGCATATAAATGGGAAAGGTGCCAAAAAAGTGATATGAGGTTGCATTAGATATAGACGTATATAAAAAACCTGGACTTGCAACGCCTTTGTATGAAATAGAAGCCAACCAGTGGCCATTTTACCGAGCTGAATACAAATGCGTGGGGTGGCTCCCTTCTATTGACGTCAGGAAGGACAAAGGCGGGCATTGCCGGGCAAGCTTTGTATTCGGCTCGGTAAAATGGCCGCAAGTGGATTCAGTGATCTCTATAAGCTGATTAAGAGCATTGCGAGTCCAGTTTTTTATATACGTCCGTGCATTAGATGCACTAGCCCTAACCATTCTGAATCCAACCAGCAATGGTCAATGGTCCCTAGAGTGCTAGGGCTAGTGCATTAACAAGAACTACTAAAAAATTACATGCTGCCTCTATGTGATATCACACAGTGCTAATAGATTCGGGTCGTAGCAGTGTTACGGTACAGATATACATGAATTATTAAATCTACAAATAGGTCATTTGGGAGACATTTTGTGGTAAA